AAGAATGACCCCAAGCTGAACTCCGCGCAGCTTTGCAGCGCATTCCTCCAGGCGTGGGGCAACGCAGCGTATGACGCATACAAGATGGATAGAGACCTAGGGCTCCGCGTCGACTGGCCAACGGTCAAGGACAGACATACCCGGCTCTTGCAACGCGAGCCCAGGCCTCACACCCAGCGCTTGACCGACGGCAGCGGCGGCCCCGCCCCATGGGCGAAGGATGCCCAGAAGGCGACAGAGGCGTCGCCGCAGGAGCAATGGACTGGTGCATCCGGCTCCGCCAACCCGCGGCACGGTTGGCGGGAATGGGGCGCCTGGAAGCACCAGGGCGCACCGTGGACAGATACCGTCTGAAAAGCCAAAGGCAAACGCCACTCCCCCAGGGGAGAAGATCCATGCACCGACAAGTGGGATTGACCTCACCAGTGGGCCAAGGGCACGCAGGGACAGGCCCGCCCGTCGGGGTGCCCCCGCCCCCAGCGACAGCGAACCCCCCAGGTGCCACCGCCCTCTCCCCGCTGCGCCGAGCAGCGCCCGGCCTCGGCCGTAATGTCCGGGGCATCTCCCGCCGGGGCGGGGATTTACCCACATCTCACCCAAGGCGCTGCATAGCTAGACAGCCCACGCTGGATATGTGGACCTTGCCAGGCCTTCTTGCCCCCCCAACGGCTGGCGGGGGTGGGCCCGTAGACCCCGCCAGCCCATGGCCAACGGCCGCCCTCTACAACGGCTGACTGCGCGCTTGGGACTGGGGGCGGGCGCAGGCGCCTTCCCAGGCCCCGCGCCCTTTGCTGTCTCCCGACAGCCACTTTGGTCGGCAGAGGGCAGTTGACTGGAATAGTCCTCCCACTGCGCACCACCCAGGTCACGGAGGTCCGCGCGCAGCCCGCTGACCCCCCACCCCCGAGTGCCGCGAAGCGGTAGTGTCGGAATGATAGAAGAGGCCATGAGGAAGCTACTCAGCTCAACGATGCGGACTGCGCTGCCCACCCACCAGGGGGGCAGGCGCCGGGGCCGCCCAGCGCAGCTGCGAGTCTCTCCCCCACGAGACCGCCACTGCCGCGGGAAGTGGCCCTCCTCTCCTCCTGCGTCAATTACATGTGATTGTGGCTTTCGGCCGCGCCTCCCTTCCTCCTTCCCCTCTCCCCCCCCTTGCCTTCCCTGGGCATCTTGCCCGGTGTCGGAGGTCTGGTTCACCCCTGACTGCGCCCCAGCGCCCTCAGGCTAGCCGCGGACGCAGCGTTTTTCAACGGTCGTCGGCCATTGCAGCTCGGCGGCAGCATTGGCGCTTGGGCCTTCGCGCCCTCGTCCATCGTTGCTTCCTGGCGGTGTCCAAAGACGATGGCTGGCGCGCTGGCCCCACCATGGGCATCAGCGTGGTTCGTGGAGTGGGGGCTTTGTTTTTCCCCCATTCGACTTCTGCCAATGTCCCAGCCGGCCCCGCGCGCGGCGGTGGGGCGGTCCTCGCGCTGAGTGGTTCAGCTGTCAACGCGTCGGCCTGGTCCGTTCTGCATCCGGTCTCCGCGTATTGCAGTGCACCGGCACGGGCCTGCGTGTTCTGGCTCATCGTTGCGTCCCCGACCTGTTACTGGCTTCGGTACGATGACGACACGCCGGCCCCCCCCTTTCAGATGTGGAGCGGCCCGCGACGTGTGCGAGCAGTTCGTACCTGCAGTTCACCCACTTTCGTCGTGGTCTGGTTGTGGCAGGTCCAGTCCTGGCCGCGCCTCTACGCCTTCCAGCTGACGGCGGCTGCAGCGTACCCTGGCACCGTCGCCCGTTACCCGATGGCAGCAGTACTGATGCTTGGGCAGGCGCGTCCTATCATCGTGGTTCAGACTCGTGAGTGGTTTCGTGGCTGCTGGCTGGTCCGCCCCACCATGGGCAACGGTGTGGATCGCGGAGCGAGCACTCTGTAGGCTCCTGCCTCTGATGCCCCGACTCTGCCGACATATTTACGGCTGTGGCACCCTGGCACTACCTGCCCGGGCTAGGTCGGCCGCGCGGACTGGCGCCACCAGGGCGACTCTCCGCTCCTGAATGTAGAGCATTTTGTTTATTGCACGTGCGTTTGCTCTCATAGCATGTCCTACTACAGTTGCTTCTGTTGTAGTTATGCGAGCTGGCCCGCCGACACTGGCGGCCGTGTTCGCAAATTCGCACCGTTCCGCCGCCCCGGACGTCGCTCCCGCCCCCTGGCCGTCGCCTTGGAGCCGCTAACCAAAAAAGCACCCCCACCAGCAACTCAATGGTGGAGTTCGAGGGCTGCGCGCTGAGTGGTTCAGCCTTCCGCGTCTTTTGCCTTTTGTTTTCCACCGACGGCAGCCCGGTTCCCGGGTTCGTGCTTCTTAGCTAGCCGGGTAGGCTGCTTGGAGTTTGGCGCCGCGCGGGCGACTCACTCCGTTGCACTCGCACCCGCGGCCGCTTGTACTCTTCGGTATACTGGGCGGCGCCTAAGTGCGTCTGCTGGTGAATGCAGAGCATTTTGTTCAGTGCATGTGCAACTGCACGCTTGTTGTGCAGGTGCGATCCGGCCTGCCAGCGTGGCGTTTGGGGTCGCCAATTCGCTTTGTGCCGCCCGCCCCGGACATTGCCTCTCGCCGCCAGACCGTTGTCGCGCGGCCGCAAACCAAAAAAGTAGCCCCACCAGGTTTTAGCAATTAGCCTCGTTCGTGGCCCGGACGTTGCCTTCGCCGCCTGACCCTTTCTGCTGGCCGCTGACCAAAGAATAGCCCCACCAGCTTTTACCTGAGTGGTCTTACGCCGCAGCGCGTAACACAGAATTCCCTCGCATTTTGCTCAGGGCTGCACGTTGCTCGAGCTTCCCTGGGCGTTCCAGTTCAGCCAGCCAACCCCCGCCCTGCTGCCCCAGCTGCCGCCTTGCGAGCTGGCCCGGCCGGCTTGTGCTGCGCCCAGTAGCTAATTAGGCTTGCCCGTCGGCCCGGACACCCTGTTCGCCGTGTGCGCTCTTCGCTCGCGGCCGCGACCAAAAAGAAAGTAACCCCACCAGCCCAATCAGAAACTTTGCCCAGGCGAGTTGCCCTGGCCAGGGATGTGGAGGAGCACGCAGTGGAATAAGGGGTTGGGGAGGATGGAGGGGGAGCCAGAGGAGGAGGAGGAGGAGGAGGAGGAGGAGGAGGAGGAGGAGGAGGAGGAGGAGGAGGAGGAGGAGGAGGCGGAGGATGGGCGGAGAGCGGTGGGAGGAGAATCGAGCCCAGCTCAGTGTCGACGATATTTCTGCTTAGGACTCCGACGTGGGCCCCGAGTTCCAAAATATCAGTTATCAGGCGATACGTCTGAACGTAGGCTTCTCTATACCAGACGGGTGGGTATGATACGCGGCCCCTTTCTTGGCAAACTTATCTGCTATTGCATTTCCTTCCCACCTCGCACACCCGATTGCTTCGCGCTCGGCGCGCGTTGCGTGGGCCTTCACTTTGCACACCTGGACCGCGCGCGGGCTCACGCCGCCGTGTTGGCGAGGGCCTCGAAGGTCTGCCCCCAGATGTCCAGGTGCTGGCGGCTGAGCCTGTCCAGCCAGCTCGGGCCTGCCAGCACTCCGTCGATCACGTTCTGGCAGTCGCTGAAGATTCTCATGGGCGGTGCCCCGACCCTCAGCGCTTTCAGCAGCGCGTAGAGCTCCGCCATCTGGATGCTCTGGGTCCACTGAGCGCCAGGTAGAGGCCCGTAGCACGCGTAGTCCATGTTGAGTTCGTCGTTGTCAGCCTTCAGCTTTGCGAAGCTCCAGCTTCCTCGTCGTAGCGGCGCGTGCTCGCCGTATTGCAGCGAGCCGTCCACGTAGATGCCCCCCGTCGCCAGGCCGATCCATTTGCCCTCTGTGAGCCAGTCGTCACGCGATTCCAGGTCCCAGAGGCCCAGTTCGGTGGCGGGGTCCGCCATGATTCCTCGTCACCGCAGTCCTTCGGCTCCTTGGCCTGGCCATGGGTTAGCACCTCGTTGTTGCATGTGTGGGCCTCCCACAATGTCACGATGCTGCTGGCGGGCTGCACACGCATGCACGACGTCGGCCGGTAACAGGTGCCAGACCGCACGGTCTGCATATGTCGTCGGGTGCCGCTTTTTTCGCGTGGAGGCGCACTTGCGGCCACATGCCCCCGCGCGATTTGCCTGTGTCCAGCGTCCTTTCAGCGGCCGTCTCGAAGGGTTGAATCGGCGCAGGGAAGATGGAGTTGATGCCGCACAGGTGGCCGCACTGCTTGACCCACTCGTCCTCCAGCTGATTTGCTCGGCGGCGCTGACGACGAGGTGCTGTATCTCTTGCAGGTTGGTGTAGCGCAGGCCGTAGACGGCGTCGCCGATGGTGATCGCGCGCGCCGCCTGTGTCATCCAGCCCAGGCGCTGACGATGACGATGCTGATGATGATGATGATGATGATGATGATGATGATGATGATGATGATGATGATGATGATGATGATGATGATGATGATGACGATGACGATGACGATGACGATGACGATGCTGATGCTGATGCAGATGCTGATGCTGATTCTGATGCTGATGCTGCCGATGCTGATGCTGATGCTGGTGATGGTGGTGATGATGCTGATTATGCTGATGCTGCTGATGATGATGGTGCTGCTGATGATGCTGCTGCTGCTGATGACGATGATGATGATGATGGGGATAGGAGAGAGAGGAGGAGAGAAGAAGAGGAGAGAAGAGGAGAGGAGAGGAGAGGAGAGGAGAGGAGAGGAGAGGAGGAGAGGAGGATGCGGAGCACTGTCTCCTCAAAACGAGGACCCAACACCACAGGATGGTTGGGAAGAACCAATTCAAAGTGGTCGCGAGGCGCCCGCGCATCCTCCAGATTCGGAGACAACCTGTGTGTTGTATTGTTTGTTGGTAGGAATGGTTGGGGCGTCGGCATGGGTTCGGGTTCGGATTGGCTGCTGGTCGTGTGGGGGAGTGGGTGTTGATTGATTCGGAATAGTGATAAGCCCTTCTCCAAAGGGGAAAAAGAGGGTTGGAAGAGGAAGCGCTCTAAACCACTCACTCCCTTAAGGACAGGTGGCATTTTTCGGCACCGTATTTGCAACCTGTTGAGGGGCATGGGTCGGTAGGCCTCGGCGCCAATGGATGCCCGCGCGAGCTTGAGGCGGGCTGTCGCGGAGGGGGAGGGCGTGGGTCCGCTCGACGGCGGCGCCACTGCTGGGCCCGCGGATGTGTGGGAGGCCTGCGACCCGCTGGCTGTCCATCGCGCCGTGCTGGACGAGTGTCACAGGCGCGCAGGGCAGGACACACTGAAGCGACGCAGGCACACGGGCGCGCAGGCTGTCCGCCTAGGGTCGCGCGCGCGCTGTCCGCAGGCTGTCCACTGTGGCGTTCTGCTCTGGCGGCCTGCGTCAGCCACCGCGTAAGGTCGCTACGTCAGGTCGCGTAAGACACTGGTTTTGTTCGTCGCCCACTTGCTTCGACCCAGTCGCTCTCGTTCGGTCCCGACGTTCCGATGCGGCGGGGCCAAGATATTTCCTGGGATCTCATGGCGCCTCTCCTTGTGTCAATGCGTCCCCTGGTCCCCCCTCGTCCGCGCACATGCCTGGGGCCATGATTTGCGAGCCCCCCTCTTGGACGCCCCTTCCTTGGAAATCCCCCGTTCTTGCAGGGCGCTGCTGTGCATCCTGGCGAGGCCGATCCGATCCGATCCCGACTCCGCGCTGGTGCGGCCTGGTTCCGTGCCAGACCCGATCCGGCCCGATCTCCTCGATCTGGAGCTGATCGCTCTCTGCAGGTACGTGGCCCTCGCGGAGCTTCGGAAGCGCTTCGACAAGTCGTGGAGGGCCGCGTGGGGGTGCAGGGCCTGTGCGGAGACTGGCTGCGCGTAAGAGCGACCCTTCGCCGGAGAGGCCTTTGGTACGGGCCCACGGGTTTCCCCCCAGTTCTGACCTGCCCGCTCGGACTCTGTCCCCCCACGGACCCCTGACGCCGTGCACCAAGGGTCGCTCTTGCTTAGGTTACCAGCCTGAAACAGATCCCTACCCCATGATTTGCGTCACCCTGCCTCGATGCCGATCTTGAGGATTCCCCCAGCTTCTGAGGGCCAACCCCAAGATTGCCATCAAGGCCCTTGGGCCTGCCAATCTCAGGGATAGGGATAAGGTCAAGGCTGGTAACCAGAGTCGCTCTCGCGTGCAGCCGAGGAGAGCTTCAACGCGTGGCTCTTCGAGGCGCTCAACGGCGCCGAGGCCGAGTGGCCGCCGATCCCAGGCCGCGAGGGCGCTGGTCCGCCGCCCGGCCGCGCTGGTGGCGGCGGCGGGGCCGTCGGGACCTGGGCGTTGCTGCATTTTCTCCACCATTGGCCCGCCGGTGTACCAGATCAATGGTCGGTTGGCCATCCCACGGGGTCCATCCACGCATTGTTCATAGATGCCTCGCAGCACATTTGTAGTGTGCATGTTCTTCTGGTACGCAGCAGTGCCTTTGGTATCCTTTAACGGGGGTCGATGCTAGTCTGCTCGAGACTGCGCGATGCCGTTGGTGTCCATCGTTTGTAGCATCTCAGGATCGGGCAGGCCAGCAGCGGCGGCCAGGAGGCCAGCTGGCCCCGCCCAGCTGCCAGACCTCGCCAGACAGACAGACAGACAGACGCCATGCACAACATAGGTGCGTTGGCAGAAGTTGTGAGACATACTAGACAACAATTGGGTGAAACGGCAAGCGTGCTAAGCATAGGAGGAGGAAGAGGAGGAGGAGGAGGAGGAGGAGAAGGAGGAGGAGGAAGAGGAGGAGGAGGAGGAGGAGGAGGAGGAGGGAGGGGACTGAACAGCTATACTGGGGCCTGCTTGTCTGAGCGGAGGCGAGGACGACCTCGCTCAGGGAGATTGCGCTGTTGCGTGCCCTCGCCTCCAGGCTTCTGTTGTCCGTGCTGCTGCCTGGAGGCGAGGTGCTCGACGGTTGGAAGGACTGCGACGGGCTGGCCCCTCCCTCGGGCCCTCGAGGAGCCTGGGTGGTAGCGGAGCTGAAAGGCTATCTTGTCTGCGGCATGGCTCTCAGGACGGGGGCGATGATCCTGGCCCGGGTGCGGGGCCAGCCTGGGCAGCCGAAGGTGACGGAGTTGCTCGAGGGCGAGGAGCCGCGCCCGCCAGACGAGCTCGGAAGGTTCTTCCAGGCGAGCCACGCCGGTGCCAGCGACCCGTATCTCAGCGGGTTCGCCGCGGCCGAGGGGCGGCCAGGTGGCTAGTCTGTCGGGGCGGCCCTCGTCCAGCGGTGCGTTTGCGCGGTCAGGCGCTGCGGAGCATGGGCGGCCCGTGGGGCCGCCGTCGAGCACCTCGACGAGCGGCAGCTGGTCGGCGCCAGGGGCCTCGAGCGCGAGCGAGGCCACGGTTACTGCCCTCAGCGCCAGCTGGGTGTGGTCACCGCGCCCCCAGCCCCGCCAGGGAGCGTTCCGCGCGTTACTTTCGACGAGGTCGTGGTCGTGCAGTCGCCCGTGCTGGAGTCCCGTCGGCAAATGCCAGGGGGGCGTCAGCTGAGGAGCCCAGCCCGCTCGATGCTTGTGCTGGAGACGCTCACCGCGGTCGCAGGCGACCCCGACTTCGAGGAACGCAGGGCGGAGGTGGGAGTACAACAGTTGCCGAGGGCGCCAGAGCGACGAGCGGTCGGGCATGGCGCGCGGCCGCCGGGCGATGTGCACGAGAGGCTTTCTTTGGTGGCATCGGCGCGGTCGGCTCCGGCGACGGCGGCCCCCACTCGCGCAGCGCCCTTGGGAACCCGTCCCAAGGCGGCAGGTGCGCTTGCAGCGGCCCGCCCTGGGCTGAACGAATAGCCCCGAAGACGGCGAGGTACACGAGGTCGAGCGTTCGGACAGGCAGGAACTCGACCGCAGTGCTTTGATCAAGCGGGACGCCATCCGCTGGGTCGCCCACCGGTAGCCCGGCGCCTTCCTCGAAAACGACGCGGTGCGCGTGGGGGGGCTTGTTGCGCAGCTCGTTGGCCAGGGCGGGGGCGACCCGTTCGCGCTGAATGTTACGCAGTACTGCGATGCTCGTGCCTTTGTTGCTCTTCCACCCCGCGCGTTCGGCAGCTGCGAGTTAGGAGTGCCCGCGCGTCAGGGCAGGAAGCCATCGGCAGCTTCTGGGCCGAGATCGTCGAGTTGGTCGCCCCCCTCATGCAGTCGAGCGCGGGCGCCAGCTCCTGGACAGGGGCGGCGCTGGTGGGGCTCAGCAGGGTCGAATTTGGACTCGCCAGGCCAAAGACTGAACACGGGGTGTCAGGGGATGTCGGGCGGCATGCATGTTCGTTGGATGTGAGCTTCGTCAGACCCCGCGGCGAGCTTCGCGAGCTCTGGCGAGGCGTTGCCGCCGCTGCTTCCCGGCGCCCCATGTTTCAAGACGCCCAGAGCTGCTCGGCATCGTGGCCCGCAGAAGGTGCCTAGCGATATCGACTACGCTGTGGCTCAAGGGTGGATGTAGCTTGTCTCTGGCAGCCTGAGACACCAGCGTGGGCTCCGGCGACCCACCGCCCCCGTTGCGATCCGAGCCGCCACGAGTCCCGCTGGCGCGCCGAGGGTTGCGAGCCAGGTCCGCGAGCACTATGGCACTATGGCCAGGGCTCGGCATTGCCCATCGCGCTACCAGATTGGGCCGCCTGCTTCGCGCCGACGGATGTCTCCCATGGCGGGGCGAAGGCGACCGCGCAGGGCACGGCTATGCAGCAGTGTCTCAGGGTCGGCGCGAAGCTCACAGAGCTGTGCTCGGCGATCCCCTTCTATAGTGCGACCGAGTCTGCGAGGTCGGGGTCGGTGAGCTTCGCGCCGGCGACCCCGCGGAGGGCGCGGGCGAGGCGCCCGTGCCAGGCCGCGGGCGCGCGCGCTGCTCATCGTCGGCAGGGCCCCGCCGTCGCAGGTGGCCGCCCCGCTGCCAGAGGGTCGCCGGCTGCCTTGGATGCGACGCGGCCAGGCTCCAGGGCTCTGCTGCTTCGAGTGGCCAACGATGCGATGGCCGCGCGTTGCGCTCGCCAAGGGTGGCCTGGGCGAGCTCATCTGCGAGCTATGTGGCGGCGGGGCCCTCGTCGCGCCCGGCGGCGCCCTGGAGGGCCGGGTCGATGCCGCCGTCGCCTTCCATCGCCGCCGCTGAAGCAGGGGACGACATGCATCTCTCGGGGAAACGCAATGCTCGAATGAGCCAGAGCTCGGGTTTGCCGACGTTTTTTGACGAGCGCGCCCAGGATTTTGTCGGTCCGGTTTTCGTGGGACTTTTGCCGCGGGGGATCGCGTCGAATTTCAGATTGGGTCTCGCCATTTCCATAGTGGCCCCGTCGGGCCAGACCGAGCCCCCCGCGCCCGAGTCTTGCGTCTCCCCGAATCTCTGCGAGGTCGCGCCGGGCAGTCTCGCGGGGGAAGTCGGCGGCGCTTTCGGCGCGACGCGGGGCGAGCTGGGGCAGACGTTCCACGGGCGCGACAGCAGCGCGACTCTCGCTAAGGCCAAGCGCGGGGGGCTCGAGCTCGAGCGGGCAAGCGCTGGCCTTCGCGGCGTGGAGGGCTGCGTCGAGCCAGCCGTCGCGACGTTTCATTTCCCCTCGGCTGTCGCGCTGAGGCGCTGGGGCTCGAGCAAGCCAGGGGCAGCGGCCAGGAGCCCGGGCGGCCCCGTCGGTCTGCGGGGCCTGGCCAGCGCGGCCGGCGCAGCGGCTTGCTTGTCTGCTGCAAGGTCGAAGGTGGCTTTGATCGGGAGACAGAGTTCGCTGTGCGCTCTCGCCCCCCGCCCCTCGGCGAACGCGCCGCTGTCGGGAGGCGCGGCGCAGCGTGGATGGGAGGGGCAGCCGCGGCCTGGCCCTTCCCGCGCGGGCTCTGGCTGGATGCGGAGCTGACTGGCGGGCAAGTCAGCAGCTGGCCGCCCCCCCCGGGGCCGATCGCTCTGGCGCGGGCGCACGGCCGCAGCGGGCGGAGGCGCTCGAGGTCGAGGCGGCGAACCTGCCTGGCGAGCTCGGCCGCTACATGGCTCGCTGCGTCGACGCTTGCGACGCGCTGGAGTGGCGCGCCACGGGCGAGAAGCAGCGGGGAGGAAGGCCCGTCGGGGCCTTCTTCCATCCATTGCGCCTGCCGGCCACGGGCCTCCACTGCGTCGCCCGGTCGATCGTCCGGGCCCCCCCTAGCCTGGTCACTGCGTAGCCGGTTGCGTCGTTGTCTCGAGCCGCCGCGGGCTACAGTCTCCGCGCCGGCAACTTCGAGGGCGGCGGCCGCGCGCGCTGCGCGAACCGCGAAGGGGGCCAGCTTCCCGCGCCCGAGGAGCGCGGTGCACTCGTGGGTATTGATCGCTGCGCGTCCGCGGAGACGCGACAGATGGTGCCGTTTCGGCAGGGCGAGACGTCATTATCAGGTCTCTTGCTGGCGCTGCGTTCCGCGGCCGGGCCGCCCTTGTCCTTTTTCGGCCCGGGGACGGGTCGCCCCGAGTAATGAGAGGTTGACCGGGTATGCGTTTTCGAGCCGGTCCAGTCGTCGACGGGGGGGGTAGAGGTGGGGCGTTCCCGCCGTTATTCATCTTTCCAGAGGGGCCAATTTCGATCGGACCCCCCGTAATTTCCCCCAAGTGGGGGGTCTGCCTGCGCGCAATTTGTCAGTTGTCGCCTGTCCAACCAGATTACCCTGCAGTGTTACAACCGCACTACTAGTACGAGAACTAGTATTCGTACTACTATTTCTTTTTCTACTACTACTACTACTACTGCTGCTGCTGCTACTAGTACTAGTAGTACTACGACTATTATTATCACTGCGCCAGAGTATGATTACTATTACAGTGCTACTGCCGTGTGACAGTTCTAGCGTGCTACTACGGACCTAGAGTGCTACAATATTGGAGTACTATGGTACTCCTTCGACAGCCACCATCACAGCGCTACCACTACTACCACTACTCCTGGACTAGGGTACTCGTACGACTACAGTACTACTAGAATACGACAACGACTACAGTACTCGAGTGCTAGTACTACAGTATTGCACGATTGCCGCACTTGAGTATTACAGTCTTAGGGTACTACTACCCCAGCCAGTATTCGCGTACTATCACTATTACAGAGAGTCTTTCAACACTCAAGTACTAGAGTACTGCCCCTACTTTCCCAGCCAGTATTATAATACTATACTACGACAGTACTATAGTGCGTACAAAACTTGAGCACGACCACTACAGTCAGAACAGGAGTATTTCTATTGCGGTACAGTGGGTTCGAACATCTTACAACTGCGTCAAGGTCTATACATACTGTTCTAGTTCTTAGTACGCCGT